GCTACTAAATGTGTCCCCCCCCCCCCTCCCACAACCAACACCACATCTCATCTCCCAGTGGTATGTTTTGTACTCTATTAAATACCCTAAATGGCACTTAGCACACGGGAAAGACAAGCTTAGACAGAGATTAATGGAGCCTGTCGCACTCTAAAATGCACTTTCAGCGTTTTGATGGAAAAAAGGGTCGAACTTAAATGTGTGCATCACATACCAATAAAGGAATAACGCTTTTGTCCTTTTGCTTTCTTTCTGCCCTTTCTCTCTTTTTGTTCATACTCAGAGTGGGAGTACAGTGCAAAGCTGTTAGCAAGGAGGAACAAAGGTTATGTTTAAAGGCAACAAAGGCAGCACAAGTAGTGAAAGAAGGTAATATACAGTAAGTGCAGCTCATGTAGAAGCAGACCACAGTTGTATGTGACAGTAAAAAAAAAAAAACTCAGGGGTGCTGTGGTGCACATTTTTCCACCACATGACCCATCCTGACCCCCCCTCCTCCCACCTCAAACTATATAAAACGGAATGAAACATGAAGGCAATGGTATAGAGTCCCCAGCCTGCAGTGCTTATCCAACCCACAGCATTTAAGATCTTTCCAAAGTGGAAAAAGAAACACCAGAACACATGAGGGCAGGATCTCGGAGTGGGGAAAGGGGACGGAGTGGAGGTGGTGAAGAGCAGAAGGAGAGAGGGGGTACTGTCTGTCACTTTTGATCTAATACAACATACGTCAATGGGGCCTCCGTCTAATACTCCACGACACTGCTGCCACATGCAAGTGATATTGGATGCCATCACTGTCCTATTAAATGTGAGTAATATCAGTTTCAGCTTGATTGTAGCCGCAGCGCTGAGGGCAGACGCAAACTGATGCATTTTAGATCCAAAATGGCAAGCATTCAGACACCGAGGCCAGCGTGATGACAGCAGGTAATGAGATGTCATCCAACCTTCGTGTCCAGGGGGGATCTGGCCAATGTGGCCTTTTCAAAGCCCAATCAGCTCTCATGTTGCAACGCTACTTTTAGCATTGTTGCTTGGACGCAGATACACACAAAGTCACATGTCCATTTGAGCATGTGACACAGTCAACTCAATATCTTCTGTACAATGATGCTTGTTATGTGGCACCATGTTGCACTAGCATCTACAGGTAGCTTCTGTGGAAACTGGGCAACTTGCATTTATGCTGCATCTCATCTGCATTAATGGTATACATGGAAGAATCTACAGTAGAAGTTCCATTCTGTAGTAACCAATATATCAAAAAGTCGTCCAACCTTAACAACAAAAATAGGTCTAGGGTTTAGGGCGCTGACACTGAACCACAACATTTACCGTTTAAGGTCCAGATTATGCTAAGAAAGAACTTGTTTGTATGATGTGTTTTCTGACCATGTTGGAAGGTTGGAATGGCCACACTCAAAGATGGGGTGAAAAGCCTGCTGTCATAGAGAGGGGGAAATGGAATAATCATTCAACTATGGGGATAATGGCACACATTTCATGACAGTCTCTCCTTGAAGGTGACCATAGTGTTGTATATATGAACAAAGCTTAGGAGAATGAGCACCAGAACTGGAGCCGGGCGCGTGCGCAACGGAACTGAGTTCACAGTCTCTGAGACGGATGGAGGCGAGGGTGATTTACAGTGGCGCCGACTCCGTGCAGGACGAAAACACACCGGGACAGGAGAGGCATGAATCGGGTGAGGAGCGAGTTTGCAACAAGTTCATTTGTATGAAACTGTTAATGTTATGCATCATCCAACGTATCAATCTGTCTGCAAGTATTTATTTTTGTGAAGTTGGAAGTTATTTATTACGTGTATTGAACGGAATCAGGTTTATTGTCAAGTAAGTTTTCACATATGAGGAATTTGCCTTTGTACACTGGTGCATAATAATCACAATCAAGTGTAGAAAAATATGAATAAAGATAAAAAGATAAAAAAGGAGCCACTATATACAACTATAAAGAGTGAGAGAATATGTACAAAATGGATGGATACTTAAAGCACGACTTAAGTGATTCTTCTTCTTGCTGGTTGTTCTGATATTTAAATAATTACCCCTAAAATAATGTAATAAACACGCAACGAAAATCTTTAGTTGGGGCAGCCCTTCAGTAAACAGTACAAAATTAAATGTAGCTATACAAATTTCTTTTAAGATTTATGAAGCATGTAGTTACCAAACTAAATATAAAAAGTTTTTAGTCAAATGTTTTTTGTTTTTTTCCCAACACTTTGTCTTGGTGATGGCGCATACATACATAGATGCAGTACAAAATTGGGCTAAATGTGTAGAACTCCACTCATCAAACAAGCCGTTTGCAATAGTCTCACTGACAGTATCCCATAACAAAGATCAAGATCATATTCATATCTATGTACTAACAACCAATAATAAAAAACTAAACACAAATCCATGTATGATTAATAAACAGGAACCATTTACCAGTTCATGATGCCACTGACACTAATCCATCCTCTTTATATCACCAGAAAGATTCAAAAACTGTTGCCTCGACGTTACCACACACACACACACACTGCACAAGCTGAAACTGTACCTAGGTGACGAGTCGGGCTTTGCCAGACTGGTGGCTCTCCCATAAGGCAAACGGCTCTTCCTGTCGCGAGACACGGCGGTAGGAAGGCGCGAGGAGCGCCAGACCAAGGGGTCAACTTGTTCGCCCCGGGACATGGTGAGTTCAAGAGGGAGGGTTTGCTGTGCCCTGCCAGGCCTGGGCCCCCCTGCCTTCTAGAGCACTGAAAACCTCCCGTGGCTCCAGGCTGTCGTGATCTGTCCAATGGGGAGTTCCCCTCCAAAACACACACACACACAGTCACACATATCTCATCCCCTACCCCAGAGACACAAGTTAGGCCAGCAGGTGCTGTCTATAGAAAGCTCCCCATACCACAACTGTAGATGTGCAGCAGGCCAAATGTGTGAGCGTGTGTGTCCCTGCCTGTGTAAATCTGTGAGACAGATAATTTGAAAATTTAAAAAGATTAACATTTTTAATTTAAAACATCCATTCTTCTGGCTTATCTTATATTTTATGAAGTTACTCAGACATGCTAAATCTTCAGGGTCGGCTAGAGCTTACAGAAATTCATCACTGTGGAAAATGAGAAATTAGAAAAGATTTTGTATGAATACAACTAATTACATTTCAGTTTTTCCAAAGAGAGTTTTTGAAAAGGAGCCTGCACACCAGCCAGGCATGAAACCTCAAACAAAAGAACATTACAAACCTTTATTTAAAGTTGACATGGCACAATAAGAAAAGAGCAGAGAAAGCTAACTTTAACATCAGACTATCCTCAGACATCCATGTATTTTGTTATCATCTGATTTAATGAGCAAAAAGGTATCCTCTGGTGTCATATAAAGACTAATGAAAGATAACCGACTTTTTACAATTTTAAGGTAGGAAAAATGTTTTTCACTATCTGACAGTATCCTATATATTCTGTACCAGCTTTCTGTAGTTCATTAAATGCAAAATCTTTACATAACATACTGTATTTGAACACAGTGATCTCCGCTAGAATTTAAATAAAGTTCTGTGGGTTTAAAATATGTTTTACTGCACAGCACAAGTTCGTAATGACTGACCTATTAGTGAGTCAGTTGCATTTAAGATAAAAGCATTTCAGAATGTATTCAGATTTTAGGGTGGATTTTTCCTTTACAAATAATGAATACTTAAAATAATAATGAATACACAGTACAGCAGTGTCACTGCATTATAAGAGCTTCCCATAAAACATAATTATAAACCAAGTGGATGTTGTCTGGGCAGCGTTTCTGCATTTTGCTAGCAATGTAAAGAAGAGCATGCGATGCAACACTCAGTGGAATTTGGAAGACGTAGTAGCAAATTATCTTTGTCTGACGTCTGACTCACACACTCATGATCATCTGGCTCATTCTGCCTCCACCACACACACTCCAGAAACATTGGACTGATATAAACCACCAGCACAGTGAGAGTTCATAATTCACACTTTTCCCAACTTCAGTGATTTATACTGACAATGGCTTGTCATTGTCAACCAAGCCAAATCACTCTATACCTCCAGATTGTTCTTGCATACTACGAGCAACATTTTTTTATCTTTTTCCTGATTTCTTTCCCCTTGGAAAGGAACAATATTCATTCTCTACACTTTCCCAGAGTTTCTCGAGCCACAGAGAGAGGCTGAGTAGCCCAGACGTCCCCAAAAACTCACAGATTAATGGCTTACTTTATCACTGACAGACATGGAGTGATCCTCTGACCTCCGCCGTGGCCTTCAGCATTCAGACGTGATTAACTTATCAGCCCAGGGGAGTGAGACATTACTGGGACTGTGGACAGTGAGGGCAGAGGGTCTGTTTGGAAATTAACTCAACTACTTCACAGAGACAGTCTTGAAAGAAGACCTTCCTTCATGAATTTATATGTTCTCCTTCTCATTGGTGAGGAAACCTCAAACATCTCATCACATAATACTTCAGATATCTCTCAACCAACTTGTCATCAGCCACTTTCTTGTATTTTATGATGGTGAAAAGTGCAACCTCTGTAATGGCTTTATAGGTATGTGTGTGTGTGTATGTATGTTGTTTGGGCATGCTTGCCAAGCAGGACTGATGCAGCCATGCGCTTCCAAATTCACTGTTTGGTGTGTACGCGTATGAGAGTGTTCTCCACCTGTTGCCGCGGGGAGGCAGGAGTGTGGGAATGGGAGGCAGCTGTGCCCCTAATAACCCCACCACACATACAACCATATGATACACTGACCCCATTGCTACCAGCTCCTAACTCTTCCAAACAGAGTGAGGCTAAGGCGCTCCACAATATCAACTTACTCACATATCCTCTCCCCAAGCGCTGAGACTAACTGCTCTTATTGCACTGATTTTATGCACATACACTGCCACAGACTCACTCACACACAGACACACCGACACACAGCACTGCCAACCAGAGCGGCCGTGCTGTAACTTGATCTGGTCAAGGGGAATGCTGCTCATGTGTGGCATGTCAGGCCTTCCTTTAGATGCTCTTCTAAGACCTTCTCTGTCTATTTACATCACATAGGGCCAGGCCTCTTTTGCTTTTACTGCCTTTTACTGCTTAGCTGCCTGTATGCCAACACTTCTACTGTCCAATGCATGTCTTCATACTATGAAGCACCTCATAAATAAATATGAACTTCAAATGGAAATCCTGTAACTCAACATCTCTTCAGTGTGTGTGTGTGTGTGTGTGTGATTTATTTGTTGGACTGTAAAAATCAATTCAGCAGAACCTGAGATATCCTCTTTTTTTATACAACGCATGAGTCTTCTTTGTCAAAATCTGGCACCTACATTACCCACAATGCAACATGACCACTGATAGTTCTACCTGGGATTTGGGTATGTTATGCTAGTAGCTGCTAATTTTGCCTCAAGCCGCTAGCCTTAAGCAGAGACAAGGAGCAGAAGAGGTCTAGTAAGCTCACTTCTTTCTTACCCCACAACACTTCCGACCCAACCAACGCTGACTCGAGTGACATCATTTGAGGCAATTTATCAGACAAGCACCCCAGGAATGGAACTGGGCTGTGAAGTGATTTTGGCGTACAAATACGCCATTGAATAAAACAGTGATAAACACAAACCCCCTGAAATTGTATTCGGAAAGTCTGATCTTATGATTCTATTATAGCACATGCATGCATTTTACTAAGCCACACACTTCTATTACCAATATGTGTCAGCTTCTGTACTGATATGTTATGTAAGTTTTTGAAGAGTAAGATCATTTGCTTTTAGGCTGCTATTAGGTTAATGCTAACATTTACTTATTATTTTAAACATAAGGCTATAGCCATCAGCTCTTTAACATATTATATGTTGTTTGCCTAGTCTGTACAAAAAGTGTAAAAATGTCAATTTGACATTTTATGGGGGGTTTATGTTCTGGACTATTTGCTGGTAAATGAAGTTTGTGACCTTCAGACATGGCAAGGCTAGCTATATCCCCGCTGGCAGTCTCTATGCTAAGCTAAGCTAACAGGCTTATAGCAGTAGCTTTATATTTAACGGACAGATATGAGAGTGGTAAAAATATTGTAATTAAATAATCCCTCAACCTGTATTTTCCACACAATCTGAGGCTAGGACTCCATTTAAAATGTCAATCTAATGTAACCACTCTGCTCTGGAGTCAGCCAGCTTGACTCTTCCCTGTCAAAACTTCCTTATGGAGCTGATGCAGCAAAAGCCTTAATGAGAAACATTTTCCATGAAGGCTGTTATTCATTTTCAACACCACTGAGAGGCGGTCATATCCATCAAATTCCTGTTTACAAAAACTCTAACTGGACCTAATTAAGCATCCAAAAGCAATAAATCAGTCGACCTCTATTCCAGCATGGATCCTAAAAAATAATTGGTCCACTAATTCAAACCAGTGACATTAGCTTGCTTCTGTAACCTCTAGGCTACCTCTGCACCCATTGAGACCCAAACCATCACCAAACTACTGAAATGTAACAATCTGGAGTGCAACGCACCTGGACTGCATCTCTTGTGTCTTGAGGCTGCTGGCGGACGGTGCAGTGCTGCTGGTCTGCTGGCTGAGCTCCACCAGGGACTGGTAGTACTGCTGCTGTTGCTGCTGCTGCTGCTTGTAGCGAGACAGGATGAAGAAGAGACCCAGGATGCTCTTTAGGTTGCCATTCCTGATCTCTGGAGGGACAAAAAGGAAAGTGTCAGCATTGACTTTATGCTGTGACAGTGCTACTATTCAGCATCAGTGAGATACAACCCCAACCCTCCTGTAGAACAAAGGCATTCTCTTGGAATAAAGTCAGTTTCGCAAGTGAAAATGGTGCATGACTTGTTTTTCATTTGTCTAGTGTCCTGTGACGCTACAAATGAATATTTTCCAGACCATTTATTGTATCTTTCAAACACTGTAAAGTGAACATATGTTGACTTTTTTAAAAAAAGCACTTGGGGATAGGGCTCAAGTGCAGCTGTTGTGCAGCAAGCTTAAGAGTTTTATAAGAGTAATTATACACTGGCTTTAACTGATACACTGTATATAATATGCAGAGTTATAGCATTTACCGTTCAGAGTCACTTAATTGTATTCAGCATGAAGTAACACTTACTCTGTATAAGAATAATTTAGGCCACTGCTCACAAGAAGAACCAGTTGTCATCGATCCAGACTAAATCATCTGCTCACATACATGAGCTAACACACAGCTGGTTCATTTAGGAGTGAAGCTAAGCATGACAACGTCTGGACTGGTGTCTAACTGGCAGACGTCTGGTGTGAGAGGGTAATTCTGAGCCCAAACAGCCAAAAATATACAACAGGAACTTCAATTACAGTTCTGCTTTTGCCAGAAACAAGGAACTGATGTGTGTATTTACAGGTGCCCTTGGTGTAGCGGTGGGATGATGGCAGAAGTGAGACATTTCTGTGTGGTGAAAAACAGTAACAGCTCAGTTGGATTTCACTATCTAAATGGCAACTAAAGTGTAATGAGCTAGAAAACAGCAGCAGAGATACAGGCAAAAGAAAGAAAGAACACACTAATCCAATATGTATTCATATTGTAAATGAACTCAAAGGAAGTATGTAAAAGAATTAAAGAGATTATATTCCTGTTGTGGGTATAAGATCTTCAAGACACTGCAGCCCTGCAGATAAAGTTACCTTTTAGATATGCTGAGCTGGCAACAGAAAAAAGCCCCTAATCAATGAGTAACTTTGTCCGGAGTGTTCATCTGATCCTCAACAGTTCCTGAGTTCATTCCAGACAAAACTCAAACCAATGCATCTCTCACAGGCTCCTTCACACACAGCCAGGAGGGGATTCAGCAGTCGCAGAGGAGAAAGAATTGATCACTGTGGCTAACGCACCCATTTGTGAAATGGACTTTTCGTATCAAACCCTCAGTGAGAGCTGGCACACGGAGGCACTGGAAGGATAGCAGCGGCTGACGCAGGGCTTTTTACTCCATTTTTCAATCTGGCAAGGCTCAAACATTCTCCCCCAGCCATCCATGGCTATGCTGTTTGGAGACTGAAAGTTGGAGAAGATTAATCTCTTGGGGGTGTTTTCCATTTTCTAACACCCAGAGGCAGTAATTTATACTAGGCCTTAGAGAGAATCTGAACAGCAGCGTTTTCTGTGCTTTAGGGAGAAACAATG